GTGAACATGTGAATCAAATTGTGCCCCTTTTTCTCTGCCATGTTTGGTAACCTGGTAAAAAACAGTGTATTTTCCTCCGCTAAAAAAAAAAAAAAAAAGAAAAGAAAAGAAAAACACATGCCTGGTCTTTTTTTCTGTTTTTTATTAACTCAACATTGTCTTCTACAAATACGATTTGTCATTCACCAGAAGATTTGAAATGTAGACTTAAGTTACACATAGGTATAAAAAGCATAGAACAGCACACACTGTACCACTGTTTAGACCAGAAAACATTGTCCCACAGATAAGAGCGTGCACAAGCTCAGCACCATCACTCTTTCTACCTCGGGGATTCAGTCTTCAAATCTGCAGATGCGTCTGTTTCTTTCCCCTCAGCTTTTGAAGCCCTGCAGGCTTTCCCCTGGTGTTTCTCACCCAAGTCTGGACCAGGGAACCACAGGGCAACTCCATCCTGCTTCACCACAGGTTATAAAACCTCAGATTCCTACTGGCTCTTGAGAAATGTTTTCCTCCTTCTCTTAGTATTTTTGTACAATATATGAAGGGATACTGCGTCTTTGATTTAGACATATCTCTTGCCTCATACTTAAACAATAACTTGAAAAATATTTTACAAAGAAAAAGAACATTGTTCATCTGAATGTCATTCATTATTATATTGCTATATTTTATACCCTATTATTAATATATACAAAATTTCTTAATTGCCTTTTACAGATGCATGGAAGCATATAATATAACAGTTTTAAAGTATCCCATTTTTAGATTTTTTTCCCTTGGCTCATGTCAATCTCTTTAATAAACTATGGTTGCTTGGAGAATATAGGAAGTATTTGGAATGTCGTTTAAAGTTTAATAGTAACTGGTAGCATTGTCCATTTGCGGCCTGAATGGTTGGAGCACCTGTCAGGGCGATCTGGTAGAGATAGCAGCATCATAAGACTCAAACGATTTTTGAAGGCTGTTAATGTGCAGTGTCGGTGGGTGCCGTGTTTGGTTCTTTATTTGGGGCTTTTCTTTTCTTGGGCTGCGTTTTGTTTTTGTTTTCCCGCTGTTCTCGGTTTTGTCTTCGGCCTGCTCGCCCTTTGTTTTCCTGTTTTGTCTCCTTACTTTCTTCTTTGCTGGACTTTTTTCGTTTCTCCTCCCTATTTTTTTTCCCTGAAATAGAAATGGAGGCATGTTAGAAGATGTTGCTTGGGCTGTTGAAACATCTGACTCTCTTGCTTTGCTGCAGACTGTAAAACCTGCCCTGGTTTAGCACCTCCTGTTAGAAACTAAACACGAGTGCTAGTGTTTGGTAGTGCCAGCTCTTCATCACACTGCTAAATGTGGTCACTGGCCCAGCATCACCTCGTCAGGCTGACTAGCTAAGGTCTCCCTGGGCAGCCTCAGTGTTTTAGAGTTGTTATAAATATCCCATGCACTAGTTCCCTCTCCTGCCTAGCCAGAGGCACAGCTCCATGTACTCCACCAAAACACAACCGGATTGGGAATTTCTGTGGCCTACGCCAGGCAGCTTTAATACCAACTGCTCTAACTTCAACTCAGGCCAGGAGCCAGAACAAATGGTGTGGGAGTATGGGGAAGAAAATAACCCTCTTTTTACTCCTCTATCACCATCACTGCTCAGCATCTAACCTTCCTCCTATTAGCCCACATCCCACCCGTCCCATGAGGATTTCCATCATTGCACACTTACTCCATGACAAAAGGCCACTCCAGGACACATGTGGGGCCCTCAACAAAACTAATAGTGATCTTCCAAATCTCAAGTAGTCAAACTATAAACCATCATTAACAAAGCTAGGCATTCAAGCTTTTTTTTTTTTCCTTTGTTGTTTTACATACTTCTTAGAGTGGAAAACAGAGGATTTTGTTACTGCTGGGGACCTCTCCAGTAAAGCTTCTTGCCCCTTCAGAATATTAAAACTTTGCATACTGGCTGTAGGTGGTACTTGTAAAGTGCATTCATGCTTCTACCTCTTCCATTTACCTTAGAAACAGGTGTAGATATGACATACTGACTCAAATGTGTATATATGCCCAAGCCTAAAACAAATTTGATTTTTCCTTTGTGGAACTGGTTCAGGTACTGAGTTGTATGACTGAAATTCACCTTTGTATAGAAAAGTCCCAGGCATGTCTTTAAAAGCAACCTTTCTTGAGGCTTTTATAACACAGGGTCATGCTGACCTGTAGGGTTCATGTTGCCTCCCTATATGGGGAGATTTCTGGTGAAATATCTGGCCAAACTGTTTTATGATACCATGGTAACATCACTACTGGAAATAAACGAACCCTATTTATTACAGGAAAAAAAAATAAAAGAAGAGAAACACTTTTTGCTGTTAAATACCAGCAGAAATAATGCAGCCTTTCCTGTACCTATGTTGGGTATAAATATTAATGCTTTGGGGTATGTTGAATTCAGGGAGCTATGGCCATTCCAGAGCCAAAAGCTGGCTGGGGAGTTTTTATAGTTTGATAGACTCTGTAGGAGTAGATAGCAACAGGGGCACGAGTAGTGGCTTTGTGTGGAGAACAAAGGAGGTCAGACAGAGAGAGATTCAGAGGAGGTGAAGAAAGAGGGGAAGGAGTAAAGACTAAAGCAAGCAGTAAGATTAAGAAGTGAGGATAGGCTACATTTTAGTAATAGATACTATGCATCCATACTCCAATGACAGTATTCCATTGAATGATTCGTAAGTAAGGTTGTCCCCAGAAGAAATGGGTATTCATATTTATGTGTGTGAACATATGCAGAATACAAAAGCTATGTCTGAAGGTTTTGAGAGAGACTTGACATCTAACCAGTGATTTATGTAGGCATGGCTTTACTGTTCCTGTTTTAGTCAGACAGATGTCATTATAAAGGACAAGCCAAAATAATCTCTGGAAGTGCTTAAAACTCAGTCCTTCTCTTTTGCTCAGGACAGTCTGTTGTTGGGTGTACTTTGAAGCAGACTGGTTTGGAGTCCTCTGTGCAACACATCCATGCAGTGGCTGCTCTTTACGAGCGGGTCTGTCCTCTAGACCAGTGTTGTCCGGGGATGGACTAAAACACAGACCGCATTGAAAGGTCATCTTTGTTCATGCTGGTCGCTTAGTTCCTTTCATCGCTATTTTAAAATAAGTGGGAGTTTTTCTATGACTATAATGTTACTTCCAGTATGTCCTCAGTTCACTTTGGAACAGGATGACTAGTCTGCTGGCAGTTCAAGTTTGCTGTGTTATCTGCCAACATTGGCATGTAGCTTCAGCAAGATTTTTGTGTGCCTATCTGCTTCTGCTCATATCCTTGCTCTCATCTTCCCTGATATTTGTTTCTGAATATTTTTTTTCTTTCTAACACTAACTGAAACACATTTCTGCAGAGTACATTGAACTGCAGTCCAGAATTTCAGTGGAACCGCATCTGTCTGTAACATGGAAAGTGGTAAACAAGGCATAGGCAGTTTTAAGTTTATGTTTGAGCTATTTTGCATCTGAAGAAGAAGTTAAGGCAAGGAAAGGAATAAAGTCGAAGCCGATAAAAAAATATGATGTAATAATGAAACTTGGAAGACAATATTCTCAGGAAATTTCAGTTTCTCCTATGAAGAATTCTGTTGTTAGGAAAGTCCTCCGCATTGCTGCATGTAACTTTATATGTACACATATGCATAAAAAATGCCTTTGCATGTGTCTGTATTGCATTTAAAAAAAGAAAAATCCTTCAGAATTAAATTATCTGCTTAAAATGGGTCTCAAGTTCCGAGGAAATCTCCTCCCGGGGCCGCCCGGTCGCGCCGCCCTGAGGCGCTGCCCTGAGGCGCTGCCGCGTCCCGCGAGAGGAGGCGCCGCGCGGGCCCGGCGCCCTCCCTCCCTGCGCTCCCCTTCCTGCCATTCCCCGCGGCCTTGCGTTGCTTTAGCGGGATTTTGGCAACTCCAGGCAGAAGATGCCAAAAAGGCAGCGCTGTGCCGCGCCGTGGGAGCATCGCGGCTTCCTGGTGCGCTGCGGAAGCCTCCTCGAGCGATGTGCTCACACAACCTGGCTCGCTGCTGCTTGTGAATGTAACAGAGCCTTTTAACAGTTTAAAATAGCAAGGATAGTAGCAAATAGGAAGGTAGCCAGACATTTTCCAAAAGAATGTTTTGCTGGTGAAACTGTGGATTTGTCTAAGAGTTTCATGGAGTAATTATTTGGAATTACACGGGTCCTATATCAGAACTGAAAGGTCATGCAGGCAGCGGTACTAGATTTAGTCTGTAGGCATTATCCAGTCAATTTGCTTGCAGACATACTTTGTTCCTTGTAAGAATGGCAGCTTTTATACTGAAGAAAATCTACAGACAAGGTATAATTTTGAGAAGTGCAGTAGCTCAAATTAAGTTCAGATGAACAAATATAGAGAGAACAATACAACAATATAATTGCACGGAGAACAATATAATTACACATCAGATCAGCCTAAAGGTACTGAGTGCTTGTTAGCCTAATTTATAGCCTGTGGGCTAAGAAATCCCTGTGTTTTCATTTATGTAATCCATGTCTGAATAGATCTTTATATAAGTAAGCTGGAGTATTTTAAAGAAGCCTTTGCATAATCACGTCAGATATGGTGTTCCCACTACACACATATATATTTTGCAGAGCTCAGGGAAGGAACATAGGATAATTCAATGCTTAAAGAGTATCATGTCAGAGTACTATGTACTGAAAAAAAAGTGTGATTGACATAAGTTAACCACTACACATTCTAAAATCCACCGCACATTGTAAAAATCATGTACAGTAGGCACTGTCACTCAGTCATACCCTGTTATATTCATCTATAATGTCATCAGACTACTCAGAGCAGCCGGTCTGCTCTGTTTTCCCTTCCATGTGCATCTAAACCCCTAAGTCCTGTAGAAAGCCATGGAGTCAGACTATACAAATTGCCTTGCTTTGGTGGGGAGTTGTCACAAGATGGGTCTGACAGAAACCTGCCAGGGTTGAGGATTTGGCTGCAAGCATTTGGGATGATTGTGCTTCTGCTGGAGGTCATACCCATGAAGAAATTTGCTCTGGGAGAGCAGAAGGGGCAAGAGGAGTCACTAAGCTGCATCTGCCAGGATTGCAGGCACCTACATAAGAGGCCTCTATCTGGAAGGGTCTTGGCATTTCTACTGTGTATGTTGCCACGGACCACAAAATCCTCCCTACTGCATTGTAATAAACTGCAGACCTATAATAAAAGACCACAAGCCACAGCTGTAACGTGCCGTGATGTTCTTTCACACTCCCCACTGCCTCAGCCGACCCCTGAGAGCTTCCACTGCTGCTGGGACACTGTGAGCACCAGGGCTCAGAGGAGGCCGTGAGGTGTGGGGGGGCTAAGTGTCACCGCTCCCTCTCTGGGACTTATTTTAGTCCTTCTAGAGTTGCTGCCCTTCCTCACAGCGCTACCTGGAGAACAGCCGAGTGACGTCCTGGAAGAGGGTCATGGCACAGGCTCCAGAGCCACTTACTATTGCTCTGCCTATGGTTGAATCTTATCAAATGGGTAAGTTGTTCTCCTTTCCAAGAAATGAGAAATGATTTTTTTTTTTTTTGGAACACACACAAGCAGTAACATGTACTCACACCACCAACTGGCAAGCTAACAAACCTCAGGACCCACAACAGCCCAATGATGCAAAGGACAGTGTCCTTTCTTTCACAAGACACTAGCAACCGATTCATCTGGTAAGGCTTCCTGTGCTTTCAGCAGCACAGTTTTCTTATCAATGAGTACTGTGCACCTAGTTATGGTAACCCCATTTTCTAATCACTAAAGAACAGAATGGTGAGGGTCAGCAAGTTCAGAATTTCCCAGGTGCCGCATGACTCAGAGCCTTTCCTGTTCACATTTCTCTCTCTTGGAGATGCATCAACTGCTGAAGTAGATTTGGGTAAAAATTTCTAAGGAGCCCAAAGGTGTTTACAGAGCAGTTAAACTGTCTAAACATAGCTTTCTGCAGCTGCTGAGTTGCATGAGGATAGTCTACATGGCCTCCAGATACTGATTCAGATGGGCACAGGCCTTAAGGTTTGTGTTGAATCCTCAGTCCTTTGTGATACCTGTCATATATCTCATGACTTCTCAAATGGTGCAGACACCTGTAGCTGAGCAACTACACTAGGGCCTGGGTGA